CCCCCAAAACCCCAAAACCCCTTAATGTAATCAAATTGAAATATTTTGAAAAATCTAGCATAATTAAACTAAATGCTTTGTAATAATTGTTTTAAAAATTGTCTGAGCAAGATATTTGCTTATAATCTCACGAACTGTCTGAGTCATCACTATCATCAAAATTTTCATCAACTATTTTTTTCAACGCATCAACCCAACCTTGACTATCCCATACATTATCATCTTCAGTTTTAAACTTGTACTTTTTATTCTTAATAATTGAATATAAATCAAATCTGCTTTCCTCCTTGTCCTTTTTGGTAATATTTTTACTCTATACTGGAGCCTCAGCATCATAATGAAATGTCACTGCTTTTATTTATGTAACATCAATAGTCTTTATCAAATTTTCCTTATCCTCATTATCATAAAAATTGAGATTTGATCCCTCCAAAGCAGCATATCTCTTTACCCAAATTTTTCTTATCCTTTTGCCTTTTCTCTTGAGTAAATACCCTTCTTTTTCTGAATCATTTTTATTTGTCTTTTTATTTTTACCTTTAGATTTGAGTGCTTTATCAGATTGCTATTTATTGCTATTTTACTAATTTCTCTTCAAAGCTAACTTTGATCTGAAATCACCTACATCATTATTTTTCTTTCCCAAGGCTTAATTATTCTTTTTTAGTAAATTCTTAGGCTAGCTTAACTGCTAAGTCTCATCTTCATCATCAGAATCATCTGACTCTTTCTTATCAGATTCATCACTATCACTGCTGATAGTTATTTTCTTTCGGGGTTTCTTTTCGTTATTTTTACTTTTAGCATTTTAGCTTATATTATTAGTGCCTTGCTTTTTCTAATTTGGCTTTTTAGTTTCTTCTTTAATCTCATCATCACTTTCAATTTACTTTGCAGGTTTAGCTTCATTTTCTTCTTCTATTTTTGCTTTTCTAAGCATTCCATAGTGGATTTTATTTTGAGCAGATATTGGCTAGAATTTGCTTATAGCATTTGGATTCAGTTTTCCTATTTATCTTTTAGCTTGTTGAGGATTACTGTTATTTGAAATGCTTGATTCTGACTCTGAGGAACTTTTTATATTTTGAGTTTTCTTTTTTTGAAGTAGAGGTTGCTTTTTATCATCTTTGTTGACACTAAGATTTGACGATTTCTTTTTGCCTTTATCTATTGCATTTACACTTAATGAGCTAGTATCACCAGCATTTTTGAGGTTTGATTTATTAAGTTCATTATTTGATGGTTTTTTCTTTGTTGCTTTACCTTCATTAGCTTTTTACATCTCAATATCATCTCCATGATTAATTCTAGTTAGCTTATTTCTTTCATCTTTCCTCCTTGTAATTTCGTATTCAGCTAAAATAGCTTTTTCTCCCTTTAAAATTCTCTCTATTATTTCTAGTTCTGATTTACCAATAGGTTTAATTTCATCATCTTTTTTCTTCTAAGTATTACCAGATTTTTCATCTTTATCTTTTTTTTTCTATAGTTTTTCAACTTACTCCTCAACTTTTTTACTATAATTCTTAAAAGCACTTAATGCTTTGTTTTGGTATTTAAAAAATGACAAGAGTGCAAATACTCCTCCAATTAGCAAAATGAAAAGAGACATTATATTGTTGAAATATTGTCCAAAAAGTGGGACTCTAATCATAGATGAATAAAAATCACAGTAACTCGTACCAAATGGATCAACATCTTTACCAATCGCCATTTCACCAATAATAATCATATAGTTAAAACAAGAAACAGTCTAAAAAGTAAATAAAACTAAGTTATAACTTACAATAATTTTGCAGCACATTCCTGTGATTGATGAAAAGGTTATGCAATCAGTGTGATGAGGGACTAATTGCAAATAATCTGATATTTTTAGATTGAAAATTGTAAAAAAGCAGACTAAAGTAATTGAACCAAGGTATAGCATTGTGAAAATAATATTCATCATCGTATATGTAGGATGTCTTTATACAATCTAAAAGCATAAATGTAACTACAATTAAGATTACTTAATATAAAAGAGTGTAGCTAGGTTCAAATACTACAAGTCCTTCCGTTGATAATACAATGATGCAATAGAGTAAACTAATAATAGCTAGAGATCTGAATATCAAAATTTTTCTTTTATTATTTGGTAAAGGCTTTAGAATCATTTCTTCTAATGAAACATTCTATTCCTTTTCAATAACATTTTTCTTATCTATTTTTTCTTTTATAAGCTCATAATTTATTGGTTTTTAAACAAGTTCATCAACCGTCTCAAATAAAGATACCCATCTCGCTTTTTTACGTTTATATAGGAAAAATTGAACCTTTAGTTAATACCTTATGTTAGCTAAAAAGTCCTCAGTCACTGCTTAACCATCTTTCATTGCCATCATAAAATTATTTGATTGCATTATACTTTGACCTTCAAGGTCTTTTTCAGGTAGCTCTTCCTCTAAAATGTCCATAAATATTGAGTTATATCCATTTCTATGATTTCTAATAAGATTCCTGCATTCAATAACAAACATTTGAAAATCAGCCATCGCTTATCTATATTACTATCTAACTTGATCAGCACACTCTAATTCTGAGTAGAGTTTATTCTAGTTATCTGCTCTTTTCCATAAAAATACAGGTAGATTAAATAATCCATACGCTAGCAAAACCACCATTTAGAGCATTCCATAAATATTAAGCATTATCATTGCTACTGCTTTCACTCCATTTAACCCTTGGAATCCAAATTTATAGTATATTGAGAATATCAAAATTGAGAACACGCAGCCCCCCGCTATTAGTAGAATTATCAGTTGCTAAATGAGAATAATTATTACTAATTTTATCTCTTACTTTAAATGAATGCTTAATACGGCCACAGACTGAAAAATGACCACTTTACCAGTATTTAGAGAAAAATTTACTTAGTATTGTTCCATGAATCAGCTATCCCCAATAAATGATATTCCATAATATAGCCATTAGCGTTTGATGCCTTTCCTATTCTTAAAGATCGTCATAATACTTGTTATTTAATGTAAATCCTAAGTCAATTGAAAGTATTCCTATTGATGAAAACGAGAAGAAGTATGTTATTCCAATATTAAAGAACGCTGATTTTGGAAATTTCTCGCTATCAACATAACGAGAAAATATGCTGATAAGAGTACATATTGAAACTATTGAAATATTAGTTTATTCTAGAATCGATTGAGCTTACTGATGAATGTTGATGCTACCATTACTGCCATTTGACTGGTGACATTTATATGAGCAATAGACGCTGCGAGTATTACAATAAGTAATCCTCCAATTGACCATGATACAACCGCCAATCCTTTTCTTGTGGAGGCATATTGAATGAATCGGTCTTTTAAATTTTGCAAACTCATTTTTCTTATTATCTCTGTTGATAATTTAAATAAACTGAATTTAATAATAACAATATAAAATTAATTTTAAATCCCATTAATTCTATGGAATAAAATTTTTAGCCAAAGCCACTAAATTTGTATTAAGAAGACCCCTATTTAAGGAATCAAAACTAGCAGCTTGCTAAAAAAGCAGTGGAATAATACGAAACTTATGAAGATGTATATAATGTCTATGTAAAGGCAGATGAATAAAAATGATATTAACTCATTTCGATTTATCCTTACATCATACAAATACAGGCATTTTAAGAAGAAGGATTGCCATTTTAGTATCTAAATGGTGTTTAAGTAGAAATGTATGAGAAGAGCATAGAACTACAATAATAGAACCCACATTCAAAGAACTACATAAACTTGAAAGTTCCACTCCCAAAAATTGAAGTTCTGTTTAATGAAATTTATTTGAATGATGTCTCTCCAGAGGTAACGTAGAAAAATTATACTCAAACCTAAAATATATCTAGTTCACATGGCTATTTGTCAAAGAAGAAAAAATAAAGAAAAAGATAGAAGAGGAAAAATTCTTTAACTGATACTGGCAAACCAGGTGATAGCGATGGTGATTGATAAATTAGAATGGAATAAAGAATAACATATTTCATTTAAATTTAGCAGTAATTATTAGAATTAAAAATATTTAATAATCAGTGATGATTTCCTCCACCATACATATTTTGAATCTTTCTTATATTCTATTCGACCTCTTTAGTCTTTCTATCGAACTCTCCGAGTACATTTGAGAAGATAATATGAGCTTTTGTCATGATATCAATACTTGCTTCTTTATTTTCATTCTTAAACAAGACAAGGCCGAAAGTGAACATGCACTCAGCAGTTAAAACGTCTTATGGTCCAAACTCTATCTCAAAAAACACTTAAATCTGCTTTAGGTGCTCACTAGCTTCCTCGTAATGAATTCTATCTATTTAAGAGTAGTTGTAGTCTTAGATTGAACCTAAATCTTTCTCTGTGATGAATTTTTTCCAGATTTGTATGATCTTTAAGTAGAAATTCTTTGCTTTTTAAACCTATCCTTCTTTTTTAAAAAGTTCTCCCATGTAGTAATAACTACTGCAAAGATAAATGCTTTCCGGACCATGGAATTAGCACTCGAGATAAATTCCCTTTGATAGCTCTTCAAGAGCTTGCTTAGATGCTCCTTGTCTGTTTTAAGTCAAGAAGAGTCTTCCGAATGTTTTGTGTAGACTTGCTCTATATCTTTCAATCTCATCCTTTGTTACAAGTACATCCTCCTAACCTATAAATAGAGAAGATTTATTTGAATGATTAGATTACCTTTGGTATCGCCTCCTTTTTCATTCTCATCAGAAGTATATTTCAATAAGTTCCAATAGGCTGCGATCAAGAATTCTTCTGCTTTCTTAAGTCTACTACTACCCATACAGATATTTGCTTCTGCTAACACAAAATAAGCTGGTAGAAGTTCTATTGAATTCTCTCCAAAGATCTTATTCTTTATCATATCAGTCATTTTATCATAAACTAGACGATTCGCTTCCTCCACTCTATTCTGAATAATCAAACGTTTCGCTGTTTCAACTGCTTCATTGATTTCCATTTTCTATGTTAATAGTTTAAATTATGCTATTCGTGATTAATTACTCCATTTTCCTTTCTTAGTCTCTTCTTGTTAGCTTCATCTTCTGTGAATCCACCTCCCATTTCTCCACCATTTTGATTTTGGTTTGACATGTTCATTGATTTGTTTTTAGCTGCCATTTTAAATTAATTTATTTAAGAAAAGTTTCAAAGTTCCTTCTATCTCATGATTGTATCCTTCTCTCGGGGTTTTGGGGTTTTGGGGTTTTGGGGTTTTGGGGTTTTGGGG